TAAAAGACCAAATTCAGTACACATCATATTAATAAACCATACTATGTATAAAAAAATAAGATGAGTCCAAGATATCAACACAACGCGATTAATAACACGTTAAGCATTTTCTTCCCATTGAAACCATCATGAGAAAACGCTTAACGTGGCTTACTGTACCAAGACAGTGATATTAAAAGACCAAATTCAGTACACATCATATTAATAAACCATACTATGTATAAAAAAATAAGATGAGTCCAAGATATCAACGTAACGCGATTAATAACACGTTAAGCATTTTCTTCCCATACAAAACCGTTATGAGAAAACGCTTAACGTGGCTTACTGTATACCAAGACAGTGATATTAAAAGACCAAATTCAGTACACATCATATTAATAAACCATACTATGTATAAAAAAATAAGATGAGTCCAGGATATCAACGCAACACGATTAATAACACGTTAAGCATTTTCTTCCCATACAAAACCGTTATGAGAAAACGCTTAACGTGGCTTACTGTACCAAGACAGTGATATTAAAAGACCAAATTCAGTACACATCATATTAATAAACCATACTATGTATAAAAAAATAAGATGAGTCCAGAATATCAACACAACGCGATTAATAACACGTTAAGCATTTTCTTCCCATACAAAACCGTTATGAGAAAACGCTTAACGTGGCTTACTGTACCAAGACAGTGATATTAAAAGACCAAATTCAGTACACATCATATTAATAAACCATACTATGTATAAAAAAATAAGATGAGTCCAGGATATCAACGCAACACGATTAATAACACGTTAAGCATTTTCTTCCCATACAAAACCGTTATGAGAAAACGCTTAACGTGGCTTACTGTACCAAGACAGTGATATTAAAAGACCAAATTCAGTACACATCATATTAATAAACCATACTATGTATAAAAAAATAAGATGAGTCCAAGATATCAACGTAACGCGATTAATAACACGTTAAGCATTTTCTTCCCATACAAAACCGTTATGAGAAAACGCTTAACGTGGCTTACTGTACTAAGACAGTGATATTAAAAGACCAAATTCAGTACACATCATATTAATAAACCATACTATGTATAAAAAAATAAGATGAGTCCAAGATATCAACGCAACGCGATTAGCGCAACACGTTAAGCATTTTCTTCCCATTGAAACCGTCATGAGAAAATGCTTAACGTGGCTTACTGTACCAAGACAGTGATATTAAAAGACCAAATTCAGTACACATCATATTAATAAACCATACTATGTATAAAAAAATAAGATGAGTCCAAGATATCAACGCAACGCGATTAATAACACATTAAGCATTTTCTTCCCATTGAAACCGTCATGAGAAAATGCTTAACGTGGCAAAGCGGACCAAATGCGAACGTCATCGGAATGTCCGTCCGCGAACGTTACAAAGGGGACCAAATGCGAACGTCATCGGAATGTCCGTCCGCGAACGTTACAAAGGGGACCAAATGCGAACGTCATCGGAATGTCCGTCAGCGAACGTTACAAAGGGGACCAAGTGCGGACGTCCTCCGAACGTCCGCTAGGGAACGTTACAAAGCGGACCTAATGCGGACCTAAGGGGACGTTTGAAAAGTCCGGGGGACGTCCCTTGTTTGTAGGGTGTCTTGGTACAGTAAGCCACGTTAAGCGTTTTCTCATAACGGTTTTGTATGGGAAGAAAATGCTTAACGTGTTATTAATCGCGTTGTGTTGATATTCTGGACTCATCTTATTTTTTTATACATAGTATGGTTTATTAATATGATGTGTACTGAATTTGGTCTTTTAATATCACTGTCTTAGTACAGTAAGCCACGTTAAGCGTTTTTCACGTTAAAGGGCATATTGCAGGTTAGAGGACCCAACGAGTCAATGTATAGAAAAATAATGTAGGAACTAGATTTTCTTTAAAATATTCGTACAAATATGCTACAGAAGTTTCTAGAGTCGTTTTTGTGAGAAAATTTTACTTCCGCATCTGAAAATGGGCGTGGCGGGCGTGACGTAACTAGCGGGAGAGCGCCAGCCGCCAGTGGCTGATTCAAACCGCAAAACAATGGATCGCGGTGATATTTCAGACGCTGAAGAAATTGTTCATATTTACTCGTATGACGGACCACAGCCGTACAATTATGAGCCTGCTATGCTGCCAAGAGATCAGGAACAGGCCAGGATTAATGTTAGACAGAACGGTCAGAGGAGACAAATTGAGTTGTGGTGTGAGGAGAACCGGTGGAGAACAGGACAGGTGTCTTGGTGAGAGAGAATAGTGTTAGCTTAGCTAAATTCACAATCGCTAATGATATACACTGTGCTCATAATATTGATTATTACAATCATATATTAGTTAGCAAAGCTTTTATTGGTCATCTAGGATTATTGGAAAGTACCAAAACAGAAACTAATAGGCTTTTATCAGGCGTATGTCATGCTCCTATCCGACTAACGTTACATGATAACTTAACAGTTTCTCATCAAGAGAGATATATATTTTTTCCTGATAGACGTTTTTGTTCCATAGGTGCTTGTGTGGGAAATGCGAGGCAATGTTCTCAGCTGAGGAAAGTCAGTGCTGCAGGGAGGTGGATGCATACTGGGCTTTAGTGGAAAATGTCACCCCCAGACTTGATGTGCAGTGTCTGACTCTGCACCCAGGCTTTGAGGCTTGCTGTTTGAACCCATATGTGCTACAGATAGCCTATATGCACTTCAGACAGGACCATGGACCTCTCCAGGCCAGCAGACATGAGTATGTTTAGGGTAGATGTACTATTAAATGTATAAAAAGTAACTGTACTTGAGTATTTTTTTTTATTGTACTAAAAACATACTCAAGTACATTTTTAATACATATTTTTCACCTGGGTTATAACATTAACAAACTTAAAGATTCGAATATTTAAACAATCTATTGATACAAGTATTTTTTTTTTTTTCAATTACAAGTTGCCTCTATTTAGGGCATGACTACCATTGGTATAAGATGATCAATATTGATTTTTTGTCCATATCTTCAGGCAATACCGCTACACTGCATACAGGCAGGTTGTCCGCTGGGCCTATGGGATTCTGGGCAGGCACATCAGGAAGCCCTTACCTGCATGTGTTGTGTCAGCCATTAGAGGGCAGTTTCCAGAGGAAGGAGGACTTTATAAAGGTTTTGAATGGCCCAATTTTGTTGACAATCAATAGAAAATAAACAATCACAAATTGTCTCTATAAAACTTTTTTATTATCATATATACAATTTAATAATCTCTCAGGTATCATACTAAGGTGTAATTAACGTGTTAAATCGTGAATGCTGTGATAGATACACGCCAACAGCCTCATCCTTGTTGATCCTCTGGTGGGATCTGGAAAGGGGAGCAGGTGTAGAGGAAGACAAAACTGCACTGCGTTCTCGTAGAGCCTGTGGTGACCTAGAGTATTCCTCTCTCAGAGACTCCATGAGGGCTGATGCATATGCTAGGAGAAATATATTCACATTCATTTGCCAACTCGTGGTCTGACTTAATATTTAGGAACTAGGGGTGTAACGATTATCAAAACTTACAGTACGGTTTTTCCATGGTTTTGACGTCTCGGTTCGGTTTAGAAAGCTAAAATTTATTTTTTTGTTTTTTAGTTGTTGTTGTTGTTTTTTTTAAACAGTGGTTTAATGAAAATATTGTATCTTTGTCTTAAAATTAATTAAATTACAATTAAACGTTTTGCAAGGATTAAAGAAAATTTGCTATGCTGTATAATTATATGGGAGCCGCACTTTACTATAAGATGAAAAGGTTGACAACATAGCCTAGACTTCTAGCCTAAATTCAGATGCTATTTATTTTTAAGATATAATAATCAACACACAACACGTATGAAAACATGTAAACAGAATGTAAGGCAGTTTTTGCATTAACTTGTGCAAATTTGTTATTGAAATACAATAATTTACACAGTTGCTGTCATTTTCATGAAAGATATTTTAAATATACAATAAATTATCAAGATTAACAGGTTAGTTAAAATATAATATATAGGCTAATATAGTGCATTTATTTAGTGCAAGAGTTCATTTATAGGAACCAACAAGTTGCGGACACTGAATCACTTGCCTGTTGAGGTAAATATTATGCTAGTGACAAGCTAAGCTGTTTTATAGACGTCTTTCCGCTGCTGAAACAGTGATTGAGCGATTACACGAGTTATGATGCCTTTCAGTAAGTTAACTGCATCTTTCAAGTCAACATACCTTCAGGTGTCTATTCATTTTTATTCTGTAACTGAGGAAGAGATGATTGCGTTTACTCGTGCTCTGCGCTGCCGCATGAAATGAGGATCTAGTACAGCGATCTGTCACGCCACATCAAAGAGAGCCAAAACACCATTTATTGTTTGAATTTCGTGATCAAATAGACAGAATTAGAAAGATTACGCCTTGCTTATTATTATTGGTGGTAAGGCTAACTGAATTCGTTGTGTACACATAAGACATGAGACATAAGACATCTTCACCTGCACAAACCTCACCCAGGCACGAAAGACAGCACCGTCCTTCTTCTTGTCAGGAAATCTGTGGACTCGATGTCCTGACAGGCCGGAGTTTTTGCAACCTCCACAAACACAATAATTTACCATGACGATGATAAATTAAAATACAATAACTACCGAAAACAAACTTACTTACGACCGCTCTCACTGAATACCAACCTACTCTGCACTGAACCGAGGGCGGGTGGCGGCTCCCTAGCATGACGTAAAATGACGCGCTGTTGAAAAAAAAGCCGTTTTTACAAGCAGTCCAAGAAACGCTCACTTTATCTACTAAATTAGTGCCCTTATGTCGTTTTAAAACGTTTTAAATCCTGCATTTACTTTTCATATGGTATTTTCATACAAGCTTATATATTAATTTCGATTTTTTTTTTACCTGCAATATGCTCTTTAAGCGTTTTAGAATGTCCCCCTGAGACGCGCTGTGGTGAGGAGGAGCGGAAAGTTCGTTCAGAGTTTGAGATACAGACTCATCAATTTATAAATAGTAAAAGCGTGTTTTACAATCATGGGTTTTCGCTGCAGTGTAAAGAGCTGCGACAATAAACAGGGGAGACCAGGTAATACCATGATGTTTCACAGAATACCAACTAGAAACGCTGACCGGATGAAAACATGGCTAATTGCTCTGAATATTGACCCTAACACACCAAAAGAGAGTATCAAGGGACATTATGTTTGCTCTGTACATTTTAATGACGACGACTATATTGAAAAAATGCAATTTGCCACAAGAACCATGAAACGTGTGCTGAAGGACATGGCCGTCCCATCAAAATCACTTACAGGACAAAGTGCTGCGGTAAGTAGCCGTTCCGTTATATTTTAGATGTTTTGCCTAACGTTACTGTAACAGTGCCATTAGCTAACTTAGAACTATTGTAATGCTAGTGACACTACTATATGATTAGGGTGCAAACTACTATACTGCAGTTGTTTACGCGCTCCATATTCCCTGTAATGTTGTTTAGAACGCGCTCTGTCGCCCAGGTAAAACTAGAACGGAGCTAGAGGTAAACACATGTAGTTAGTAGCATACACCTTGCTAATGAATCTTATCGGGGAGGGATTTTTTTTTCTATTTTTTATTTTCTTTTAGAAATAGTCATATTGTCTAGCACGGGTAGGCTACTGTCTGTGGGTTCATTGTGCAAAAACAATTTGCCTTGTGCTATTACTTTTCCCTTATTCTAGCCTATTGTGAATATTGAGTCATTGCCTATTGAGCCTATTGTGAATATATTGTCATATTCTAGCCTATCTGCCATTACTGTATTAGACACTGTTGAATACATTTGGTTACGCTGTAATAAATTTCATTTTAGATGTATATTGATTCCTGTAATAATAATTTATTATTTTGTGTTCTGTGATATATATTAATTAGGATGAGCTGAGTAACCTGCAGCTGGATCAACTGGAATTTGAGGATGTTTCCAGCCTGTTTGCAGGTGTACCACACTCCACACCCAGAAAAACCTGTACTGTACCTACTGCAGAGTTCAAAGCCCCACTACCTTTGCAGCTCAAAAGTCCTGCTCAGACAGCTACAGGGACAAAGGCATTGATTGCCTTGGCACCCAGTTGGACACGTCAATTGGTAGGATAATTAATAATTTATCATTGAATGGTGTTATACGTTCTGTGTGATAAATGTAACAAATTCTATATTTACTTTATAGGACACTGCTTCATCGTCCATAATGATGCCTACCTGCAGGCCAAAAAAAAGTCTTATCTTTGATGTAAGTAGCAAGCCAGGTTCTCTATTCATGATAGCTAAAAAATATTATTGAAAAAAAAAATCAATTTAGATGCATTTTGATAATTCAGCTGACACTTATCTTGATCACAATGAAATGCCAAAGATAACAGTCAAATAATTGAATATTGAAAATCAATTTTCAAATGAAAACCAACACGTTCCAAACCCAGATGTATGCTTCTAAAGGTGCCAAGAGAAAATAAAATTTTACATGTTGTTTTGTCGTCAACAGGAAACACAACAAATTGATTATTCTGAAATGGATATCAGTTCAGCAACATCAGCCTTGGATATCAGCATGGCCTCAGAACCTGCCTCTGAACCAGCCGTGGATCCTGCTGACTCCAGTTTTGTCCCTGACACAAGCCCCTCCACCTCTACCACAGGAAGCACTGAAAGCATTCCTGGACAACATAGAGGATGGAAAGAGAGAAAGTGGCTGGTAAATGAGTCTAAACTCATGGAACTCTTTAAAAAATGCACTGTTTGTGGATCTGAAATGTGTGATTTGAACCAAATTGTGAAAAAATCTGGCACAAGGATCAGAGTAATATGGAAATGTAACAGTGGACACACCGGAGATTGGGAATCATGCCCAAGTGTTCGTGGAATGGCGGAGAACAACCTGCTATCAGCAGCAGCAACACTCTTCACCGGTGCTACCTACACAGACATTGCTGAGTGGGCAGAGCTTTTGAACATTCAGCTGCCCCATAAATCTACCTACTACAGTATACAGTCCAGCTACCTGATTCCAGTTATTGCTGAAAAATACAAGAAGCAGGAGGACACTATAAGAGCAAGACTCATCTGCCAGACCCTGGATGGTGAGGGAGTACAGATCTGTGGAGATGGGAGAAGTGATAGCCCAGGCCATTCCTGCAAAATACACAACGTATTCCTTCATGGATGACTCCACCAATCAAATTGTAACATTTGACTTGATTCAGGTAATTTTTTTTAATGATAAATAGAATAATATATACGAAAACTCAGTCACTGTTCTCAAACGTCTTATACTTTTTCCCTCTAGGTGACCCAGGCCAAAAGTTCTGTTGCCATGGAGCCAATCGGTTTCAAGAAAGGATTAGAAAAGCTCCTAGATGAAGGAATCAATGTAAAAGTTGTCACAACTGACCGACATCCCTCTATCAGGAAAATAATGAGGGAGGATTTTCCAAATATAGAACACCAATTTGATCCATGGCATACTGGAAAAGGTTAGTCTATTTTGTTATTGTAAGCTTGTTCACAACTCCTGATACTTCGGCTGTGCTGTCTGGGTTTACTCTCTGTGTATCTCTGTGTTTTCTGAAGTGTACTATTATTATAAAGCTTTTCCTTATTTTAATTCAGGAATTAAAAGAAAATTGGTTTTGGCATCCAATCGCAAGAACTGTATGGCCCTTGCTCCTTGGATAAAGAGTGTGATCAATCACATGTGGTGGAGCTGTAGCTCATCTAAAGGAGATTCAAAGGTGCACAATCATACATTTTATACACACAGACATATTGCAAAGGCAAAGTCTAATTTATTTCTCATATGCATATTTATACCGGTTATAGTGCACAGTGTATTTTGACTACTGGCGTGCATACATCACCTTTGGACATAGAAGTTATTAATTAGGTCACATTTTGGTTCAAATTATTTTTTCCGTCTGTATTTTTACAGGAATTGTTGAGACGATGGAAGTCAATTCTCCATCATATCTGCGGGGTCCATCGCTGGGAAGAAGATGGCAAGGAACATACATGCTACCACACTGAACTGCCAGCGAACGAGCAAAGGAGGAAGAAATGGTTGGCGAAGACTCCCCTGCCTACAATGCCCTTTATGAAGTGGTGATGAATGCACGCCTCCTGAAAGACCTGGAACAAATGGCACTGTTCAAACACACCGGTATGTTTATCAAAGATTTCACAGCTATTGGATTGCCTCCATAGATTTTAGTTTCTGTGGGAACCTTTTATGTGAAACATTTTTACATTATTTTAGAAAGTAATATTGCACCTCAGACGATAATGAAAATAAAATAACTCCCAATATTCAACAGATCATTCATACTACTTGTAAGCATTGTTCCATGTATAGTTTATAAAGTGTTTTGTATTTTGTACTGTCTTTATTTCTCTTTCACTAGGACAACTTGAAGTCTACCATAATGTTCTTCTAAAATACTGTCCCAAAAGATTGCACTTTGAATATGCATCAATGCAAGCACGAACAATGTTGGCAGTCATGGACCATAACGAGAACCACGAAACACAACGTGAACAAGCAAAAACAGCGTCTGGTTAGTTCTAAACATATATCATATTATAAATAAAACAATATATCCTCCGGATATTTCAAATTTTGCAGCCATACACATGTCAGTATTGATTTGTACGTAATGTTTCACCTAAAAATATAATAGAACATATTTATAATTTACAAATCAACACTTTTGCTGTTATAACTGGCAAATATTATAACATTTTTTTAATTTTTATTTAGTTATTATTTAACCTTCTGAACACACTCCTAACAGACCAAACTCCTCAATCATGTTGATTTTCATTTCAGGACTCCAAAGACACAATGTGATATTCCAAAAACAATCCAAACAATGGATTGCCCGACCAGTCTACCAGGAAACTACACAGACTTTCAGGAATGAATTGATGGACGCAGTCATTCAGAGAAGGCTGGATCCAACGGTGAAATACCAAGACCCCTTATCGCATGTCAAAGTTCCACGTTTGGCTGCTAACATCGCCACAGTTTCAAAACCCAGGAAGGAGGATGTCATTGCCGGACACACATCAAGATTCACAGGTTCAGACTCATAATGGTATCTGAGATGGTTATAAATAAATAAAGGGACACCCACCCCACCCACCTATCATTCTTTAGTCCTGCTTTTCACTATGTCACCACTGCCACCCAAAGTGCCTTTTTGTTATTCTTGTATATAGTTTTTGGTTATTGTGGTACAGCAATTGTAAAATAAATAAGAATATTTAGGGCCCAAGCCCTGAAAGGGCGAAGGCCCTATTGTTTTCCTAACGATTATTTAGGGCCCAAGCCCTGAAAGGGCGAAGGCCCTATTGTTTTCCTAAGGATTATTTATTATTATTATTTTGTAACCTTTTGGGCATTTTTGGGGCCCTTAACGTGCTCGAAAACTCTTGAAACTTTGCACATGGGTCAGAACCCGCGGCCATCAGAGCCGGGCTGAAGCTGGTACCCGGGCGTGGCAGGGCGGCTCGTCAGCGCCCCCTGGAACGGGGTCCGAACACTTGGTCCATAACTCAAACACGTTTGTATGTAATAATATGAAACTCTGTGCACATGTTGATCTCATAGTTTCATCTATACCTCGCGCTTTTACTTTTTACCCCAGCCCAACAGGAAGTCGGCTATTGAGGTTTGTTTGTAAAACGCTCGCAATGGAATGTTAAATACTCCTCCTAGAGCTTTGATCCATATTCGACAAAACTCGGTCAGCATGAAGTCAAGACATTGAGGATGAAAGTTTGCGAGGGGATTTTTGATATCTCGAACGGTTTGGCCGTGGCGAGGAAACGAAATCATGGCGAGAAACGTGAACCAGGAAGTGTGTTATAACTTCAGCATACATTAACTGATCTTGATGAAACTTCAGCAGTGTGTTCGCTGTAAGAGGACGATCACATGGATGTGACTATTGTGAGTCAAAGTTATAGCGCCACCAACTGGCAGCAGGAAGTGTGTCACTTTCAAAATGCTTTGATATCACCCTTTTATTTTTACCCGATTTGCTTCAAACGTCATCTGTATAATGTAAACATACGGCAGATGTAGACCTGTGAATGGATTCTTGATATCTTTGAAACTGTTGCCGTGGCGACGCATCAAACGTTACCATTCTTTTAGGATGCTTTTGAGACCCTTAGCATGCTTGAAATTGCATGAAACTCGACAGACACATCACATTTATTAGCCAGTAGACACGTGCAAAGTTTCAGAAACGGGCGTGGTGAGGGCTCAGTAGCGCCACCTTTTGACAAAAGTGGGGTTGTTAGTTTTATCTACAGTTACAAAAATCGGTATGTATATTGTACTCCTCGAGCCGGACAACTTTCTAATTGACACTCATTAGCTAGGACCCACAGAAAGTCAGATATGTTTGTTTGAATGTGGTCTTGCTCAATCTGAGTCTTGCTCTCTGACTTTGCCTGTCTGTGTATGTGTGTGTGTTTGTAGGGGGAGGGGTCTTAACCATTTCACTCCTGTGTGTATGGCCTGCATAAAAAATAAATGCCTTAAGCCTGGTATTTTTTTAAATAAGTTTTTTATTTTTTATAAGTAAAGGCATATAACCAGTGCATTAATAGTTTTATATAATTAGTTTATTAATTAAATTAACTTGGTCCATAAACTTGATCTGAAAATTTGGTCCATAAATCAAACACACTTGCATGTAATAATATGACTTGAGTGTTAATCACATCATGTTTTCAGTTTGAATATAAAATATATAAATTATGTAAAAAAAAAAATAAAGTTGATCCAGCTGGAGCGCAGGCTGAGAATAGCGCTGTCATGACTGGATCAGAGATCATCAGTCATGCCCTCTCATACCTTACGCGCACACCACGCCCACTTACATCAGATCACATCAACATGTCAGCCGGAGGGATAACGAGGGTCGTCGTCGCTTTTGGATTCAAGAATTTCTTACAACAAGATGGCAAAAGAACAGCGCTTTGCAAGACATGCAACGTTAAGATCGCGGACAGTCAGATGACAACCTCCAATTTCGTCCTTCATTTGAAGAGCCATATTCTGCCCAGTAAGTGCTTGTCAATTTGTTAATGTTATCTGGTTAGCTCGTTCGTAGTTAGCTAGCTAATGTAAGTTAAAGGAGAACTCCGGCGCAAAATTACACATTGTTACCTAGTCAACCGTTATCTGAGATTTGTTTTCATGACTGCCGAATGTAAATAGTTTTATCTATAAAAACAGTTTAGCCTATAAGTGACGTCCGACATTCTGCATATTGTGTTATTAAGCCCCACTAAAGGCATAAAAAACTGTAAAGCACAATCAAGTTTTCACACTATATTCCAAGACTTCTAAAGTCATTCAATAGCTTAATGTGTGGTAAAATTAATATTTTAGTCTCTAAGTTAAAGTTAACGGAAAGTCATCTCGCCTCAGTCATTCTCCATGCATCAGCATTAGCGCGTCGCGTTCGGTTGCGACAGTAACACGACGACACTCTCTTCAAGATCAATGTTCCCAATATTATACTTTATTTGTAGATAAGGCATAAAGGTCTATGATTTGCATAAAATGACTATCTTGCTGGAGTGGAGTTTATTGCCCTTTAGAATACACTAAGCATTAGTGCTGCACGATTAATTATATCGCAGTCGTAATAGCGATCTCAAACCTATGCAATTATATAACGCAAAATGCCGCGATTTTATATGAAATAAACAAAGTAGGGCTATTAGCGCAGCATCTCTTCTTTTTTGTCATCCTTTGACTAGTGTTACAAGATCCCCCTCTTATTGGTTCAAATGCCTTTTCGCATTTTGCACGACAAGAAGTGAAAAGCTGCCTGTGAGTGCCCTAGATTAGATGATACGCATAATGCGCATGCACTGACCGTGTGCCAGCCCAGAATAAACAGTTCTCTTTCGAGCTTGAACGAACAATAGCACACACAATTATGCCAAAATGTGGTTTTGTCTAGTATCTTCATAACATAAGAAAAGTCTATGGATGAAAAGAGTTGTGCTATGAGGCGCGTGTGAGATCCGCGTCTCGGCAACGGGTGCTCTTAAAGGGCCAGCAGCGAATAAAGCGTTCTTTCAGTAAAGTTAAAAGAACAAAGGGAAATTAGAAAATTACTCACTGATCTTGAGTAAAGAACTTTTGTAGCTTTAATAAGGATTATTATATATATATAATTTATGATTCAGGCAGCGCAGACTGTTTGATAACTTTATTCAATTTCTGTACCTGTTAAGACAGGAAGGGCACAGGTAAATATGTTTTTTATTATGGGTTTATGTGGGGATTGTTTGAAGTTCACTTAATTTAAAAGCTGTTATATATATTTTTTTAAGCCTAATAATTTTTTTAAAAGTTGATGGCTTTCAATTGATGGAATCACTGTAATGTTGGTTTGGTTGATGGTTTATTGATCATTATAGGTGTTATCAATCATTTATTGTTGTTGTTGTTTTTAGTTTGAGTTGAGAAATAAACATTAATCTGTGTGTGCATTTTACTTTAGAACCAAGCAAGTTGGACTCATGAAACCATTTTATTATATCGGAGTCGCAAATCGCAATTGCAATATTGGCTCAATAATGGCAATATGACATTTTCCCAAATCGTGCAGCCCTACTAAGCATAGATTATAGATACCATCCCTTCGCTATGTTCTTTTCAATGTGAAGCGTTGCGTGCTGTGACTTGGTGTTGCTTCAAGTGCATCATTCTGCACACGGGATGCGCATGATTGCTTATAATACTTTGGGGAGACAAGGGGGCGTGGCCTAAGGGAATATCACTCGTGATGTTAAGTGATGTTACCCCGCCATCGCTGATACAACCTTTAGCAGTCATGTTTTTGCTTATTGAGAGAGAGAGAAAGTGTGTGTGTGTGTGTGTGTGTGTGAGCAGTGGCGGTTCTAGGCGGGGGCCTGGGGGGGCCAGTGCCCCTGCGACAACAAGCTTGGACCCCCTTGTGGCCCCCCTAAATGTGGAGTCAGTGTGAAATATTTTTTTTATAGTGTGTCACGCATTGAGCATGACAGTCACTCGTTTCAGTCTTTTGTCTCACACTCCCGTCACACATTGTATTT